AGGAAGAAGCATTCATTTTGCTGAGCATGGTAATATAGACCTGTATTCCCAGCACTGCAGATGTAGAAGGTTCAAGAGGTTCAGAAGGTTCAAGTTCATCTTTGGCTAGTTAGCAGATCAGCCTATGCTACATGAGGCCTATCTCAAAAACAGCAAAACAAAAAAAGTACTCATCCTACGTTATACTAGCAAAAAACATTGATGAAACCAACTCTGAAATATCTGTATTACAAATAACATCATTATAATACAGAAAAATATTCTGACTCCCTAAATGATATACAACTAGATTGTTTTAGTTTTATCACAAAGAAAGCTCTCTACAACTAGACCTTAAATACAATAATTTTTAAATTATTAGATAAAATCCAAGAAAGGGCTCATTGTTTTTAGTAAAAAGGAATTTGTTGGCATAATGACAAAATGAAAAATGAAAAAAAAAAAAAAAAAAAAAAGATTTTTCCCCAATGCTTGGGAAGCAGAGGGCAGAGGTAGGTGGATTTCTTTGAGTTCAAGGATAGCCTTGTCTAAAGAGCAAGTTCCAGGACAGCCAGGACTACACAGAGAAACCCTGTCTCGAAAAACAAAACAAACAAACAAAAAATAAAAACATTATCAGTACGACCAATCTAGTCACTTTTAAGGCAAAGCCTGAAATGTCCTAATTTGTAATGAATAAACATTTAAAATGTTAATAGCCAGAAACATTTTATGAAAACAACTAGCTTTCTTATACTTTTCCAGACACAAGAAATAGTAAATGTGCATGATATAAAACTATTTTGTTCTTTACTTACCATTTACATTCCTATGATCCAAGCAGCAAAAATTAAAAATAAACTGGTAAGTATAACTTATCTTAATAATTCCTTCATATTAAGGCAGCTTTCTCTTTAAGTAAATTCACAACTTCTTCGAAGACTTCAGTGCTTCTTCTCATAGATATAAATGTCTAGCATCACAAGAATCTGCACATTACCACTGACTTTAAAGCTATTCCTTTATAGTGGAGGTCTAACATAAAACCATGGCTTATCTCTGGACTTGCCACTGATAATGCAGGAAGGACAGGCTATTCCCTTAACCTCGAAGATTATGTGATTTCTAGATCAGTAGACTCAGAAGCTCTAAGAAAGGTATCAAGTTTTCAAATCCAAATCCTTTGTTGGCATCTCAAAGGATCAAATGTAACTTGCTGATCCCAGTGACAATGAATAAGAATTATCTGAGTCAGAGTTTAGCATAAAAGTAGTCGTATACAATGCATAAGGTAGAGCTAAACATTTTATTTAAAAAAATTCAGATTTGATCTTTGGGTCATGCTTTGCCAATAAATAAAATTAAGCTCGCGAAAAAATGACAGTGGCATAAAAGGAGTTTTGAGGAAAGAGAAAAGAGGTGAGAAGTAAAGATCTGACTAGTACAATCTGCAATTCTTCAAATTAGAGATATTAATTTCTTTTTTTGTTTGTTTTTTTTTTCTTCAAGACAGGGTTTCTGTGTAGCTTTGGCACCTTTCCTAGAACTCACTCTACAGCTCAGGCTGGCCTCGAACTCACAGAGATCGGGCAGCCTCTGCCTTCTGAGTGCTGGGATTAAAAGTGTGTTCCAACACTGCCCGACTAAGATACAAATTTCTTAACCTCTTAACCTTTAGCTACTTAAAACTTAATGATTTAATCAAATATTCGAGGTTTTCCAGGTTTATAAAACCAAAACCAACTCTCTCTGAAGTATAAACAAGCTATGAAAATTGGATTAAACTTAGTAACTGAAGAAAGCTCTCCTCCTATCAAACACACTTATGTGGGTAATTTGGATTTCTAATAAGAAATCCTCTATTTACCTTTAAATGTAACTTAGCTTATACTTGTCCACATTATTTTGTAGAGACAGAGGCTGATTACTTACAATCATGGGAAGTTTGCGACTATCCCGGTAGAGGTTCGTGTAGCCTACATAGAGCACAAGGGCCGCAATGCAGTAGAGGAACATAAAGACGGCGAACGTGACATAGAACTGTGCGGAAGAGGAGTAGTCACCTATGAGGACGTGGTCCTCCCATTTCACAGCACACACATTGACATTCGGGGGTGAATGGAACGATGCCTGATTCAATCTATTAAAAAAAGACTTAAATAAATACAGGAATCACTGGACTCTTAACAGAGAAATACTTAAGCAAAATATTGACATTTCAAAATATATTCCCCAAATACACTAAAAACATTTTCTTTTTAGAAAAAGATTCAAATACTTAACTAAACCAAAAATTTCATACTACATATAACCATAAATTTATTCAGTAATAGGTTTATGGCAGACTGAACATAAATGGCGTCAAACAGTTCTAACATTTAGATACTATCTTCCTGCAATAAAAATGTATAATATTAGAAGCGATTATAAAAAGTCTTTTACAACTCACATTTCTATTCTAGGAGACAGAGATATGTGTCACTAGTTCCAAGAGAAACAATCACAATGGTATTTTTCTTCCTTTTTTAAAAAGATATTTTCAACCAACCCGGAGACTTGGTTTTGATTTGTATTTCATGTGTATGGCTGTTTTGCCTGCATCAGTGCCTGTGTGCTTCACACCTGCAGAGGCCAGAGGAGGGCATTAGATCCTCTGGAACCACAGTTCAGACAATTGTGAGCCATGTGTTGGGGCTGGGAACTGAACCTAGGTCCTCGGAAAGAGCAGCCAGTGTTCTTAACTGCTGAGCCATCTCTCCAGCCTCCTGATTCATATTTCAGCCCTTGATTAATGAGCTGCTAAAGGAAAATTCACATGGCCTTACATTTACCCATTTGTAAATTAGAAAACCAATTGTCATTAAAGATGATGGTTACCATAACAAAATAAACAGGTAAGAGATAGAAAGGCTTTGGTGATTAGCAAGCTCTCAGGATATACGGATCTTTAATGTAATATTTTATTTGCAGAGTGTAGTAGTGCAGGCCTTTAGTTCTAGCACTCAGGAAACAGAGAAAGGCAGATGCAGATCTCTACGAGTTCTTGGGTTAGCCTGGTCTACATAGCAAGTTCCTGACCAACCAGGGCTACATAGTAAAATCTTGCCTCAAAAAAAGTTAACTATCAAAACATCCTTAAAATATTTTATTTCCAATGTATTGGTTAGAAAATTGAGTCTTTGAGAGAGGTTAACTAAAGCAAAGCTAAGCAGAAGATTCATATTTTAGACATAGATATTCACAATAGACTTTTCAGTGGAAACTGAAGTCACACAGAAGAGACCTGCTACTGTTACTTTCCTTTAAAAGTAAAATATGGTTTTATACTTAAGAAACAAGTATACTTTATATATGTCTTAAAATGACATAAAACACTATTAATTCATAATGCAGAAACACGAGAAATGTCTATCTTGATAAACTAAGTTTGCTCCTTGGTAGTAAAGTGGCTTACGAATAGAACAGTCTCCATTTCCCCATTTCTAATCTACTGTGATAGGACAGAATGTCAAGACAATGTCATAGGACTAAGTTTCTAAATGTTTGCTTTCTATCATTTGATCTCTCTCTCTCTCTCTCTCTCTCTCTCTCTCTCTCTCTCTCTCCCCCCACCCCCCACCCCTCCCTCCCTCCCTCTCCCTTTCTCTCTCTTGAGACAGAGTCTCTTCTCTGTTCTCTTGGCTATCCTGGAACTTGTTATGAAGACCAAGGCAGTCTTCAAACTCATTGAGACCCACCTGCGTTTGCCTCCTGAGTGCTGAGATTAAAGGCATGTGACAGCACACCTGGCCCCTCTGTTATGATTTTAATATGAAATGTCTCATATAAACTCATGTAATGAATGCTTGGCTCCCTGGTGACATTATTATGGCAGGTTCTGGAAACTTTAGCAAGGGGTTTTGTTAGAGGAAGAACATTTGGGGACATGCTTGCTTCACCATGAGATGAAGAACCACCTCTGGCACAAATTTTCACTACCATGATTTTCTGCCCAAGTTCATAAAGCCAACTTACTGTGGTACAGCTTCCTGAAACTGTGGACCAAAGCAATTCTTCCCTGTCTTATTTCTGTCACATATTTGGTCTCAGCAGCTAGGAAGTAACAAATATATTCCCCTTTGTATATTTCCCTCATTGGAGACCAGAAAAGGTTTGCAGACAGGCACTGGTCTGTACCACCATCTGAGTAAAAATCCCAAGTGAAGATACAAATCTAAACTACTCTACACCTTCCATGAATAAATGCTGGAAAATTTGTCTAAGTGCACGCACATGAGAGCGTGCATATGGTCTGCTCCCCAGAGCAGCCATCTTGACACGTCTTCCTGCAAGTGCTGTGACTGCTCAGAGTCCAGGCTTCTGCCCGAGTCCAGACCAGGTAGAAACCCTAGGGACTAAATATGAAGTCGAAAGCAGTTGTTCAATGATTTTACAAACTCACCTGAATGGATAACCAAAAGCAGTTGTTCAATGATTTTACAAACTCACCTGAATGGATAACCAA